TCTTCCCCTCACATTTTGATAAAATTTGAATGTTGCTTCTGCTATGAGGTTTCTTTTCAATTAAAACAGCTGTAGGATTGGAGAAGGCAGTAGCTTTAAAAGAGATAAGCCCTAATGCTCTTACAACAGCATGGTGGATAAGATTTATATGTCAGTGGTTTCAAATGCTATCCTCTAGATGTAGAAAGAACTCAATTTCTGTGACAAATAAAAGCAAAAAAAAATTGAGTTACTTTTGAATTTATTAATGTTATACAGCTTATAGAAATTGGTAAAGGGTGAAAACCATTACATATTGGTTTGATTCTTTCTACTTTATCAGCCATACAGTTAGCAGAGGCATGTTTTCTGAATGATTTTCAGTTTATTTTGACGAGCAGATTGACACAAGATGCTCTAGAAAATGTATTTTCTCAGATACGCAGAAAAGCTGGTTTGAGGCCAAGTGCTTTGCAAGCTGTGAAAGCATTAAAGCTTATCTGTTTATCTCAGTTTATATCTGACATTAAGAACTCCAGATATGCTACTGATTCAGATATTTACTTATTAAACTATGCAAAAGATGAATTTGAATTTCTGAAGGAGAAAAAAGCTTTAGAGCCTGTTACCATACCATAAGTTTCTGATGTATCTCTACAGAATCTCACCCTTAGTGAGGAAAATAATGTCTGTTATATTGCAGGAGCTGCAATAAATTCTGTTTTGAAAAATGCTTGTAATTCATGCTTACAGTTTCTCTTAGTTTGTGAGCAAAATACTCCTTCCATTGATGAAAATAAGCAGTACATAATTAATTTTGCAAATTTAGGTGGGCTTAAATGTCCTTCTCCAGAAATTTTTAAATTGTGCCTTCTGTGTGAAAAAATAATTCAAAATTTTCGAGACAAAATAATACATGGAAATGTAACTATGGATGTGGAATTTGTTAATATGATTTGTAAGAAAGCAGGCAAGGTAAATATTCCCTCCTGTTGCAATATCAAAACAAATATAATAAAATATTATATGACGCCTGTATCTCTAGTATAGTACGAGTCAGCCTGTATCTCTAGTAGCTCTAGTTGACGCTATCTACGTTGCGTTGACATCATATATGTTCGTTGACTACACATTGCTTTCCAGTGATAGAAGTTATTCTGTTTTATATTAAAAACGACTACCTCAATAAACTAGGCCTAAAACGTAACGTGAAACAAATCATGCTGCAACCATAAGCAAACACAAACATATTTTTGAAGACGTACCTCCATCGCTCGGCGCTAAATCCCCGAACGCGTAGGCAGGCCACGTGATCGTCACTTCATGCGTCATGGACCTTATAAGAAAAGACTAACCCAACTTAGAGATACAGGCTGACTCGTCAGCCATTTTGAATCTAAGCTTTAGGGTTGCAATTTAGGTGTGGAGCGGCAGCTTTGGCTCTTTAGCGCTGTCCGCTAAAATTTAACATTCTAGAGAATCCGAATTTCAGCTTTTTTCTGCTTCCATATAAAAATGTGTGGCTTTTTTCCCTTCTTTTGTCTGCAGTTCAGATTCTTTCTCGTATTTTTTTTTTTAAATTGCCAAATTTCTCGTATGATTCAAGTTATTTTAAAAGTTTCTAAAACATTTTCACATATCATATTTCAAATTTGTATTTTTAGTTAAAAATACTTTCTTTTTGAATTCCTTTATTGAATTTTCAATTTTTTCGGTAGTCTTCCGTTTCGCCGGCGCAAATCTCGCCAAGCAGACTTTATTGGCGACAACATAGAGTATACACATAAAAAATATTTAAAAAAATGTTAGTTCTAAGAATTCTTTTAAAAAAAGAAGGCATAAACATCTTAATATCGCTTAAAATTTTATAAAAAGCCAATAAATAAAGACAATAAATTTTTAAAAAGACATTAAGAATTTACTATGCTTTCATGGTTCAACATCCTGATTCGCCGGTTCATATCACGTGACCCCAAGCGATCTCATCTCACGTAAACTACTCTACAAAAATCTTATGCTCTCAGTAATTATCTACATTAATTTCAAGTTAAATCTTAATTTGGAACACATGTTTAAATGCAAGAAATATTTCAATTCGTACGAATAGCTTACTCAGAAATTATGCAAAACTGTAGTGCTTTACTTCGCTAATGCATTCTCATTAGAATGGATGAATTTAACCATTGACTTAAACTTTTCTTCTATATTTTCGGCTTCAGGTAAGCGCTGTGATTGCATCCTAATTGTCTTAATTACCGAAAAAGGCATTAGATATAAAACTGAACTATCTGATAAAAATTCTATGTAATTATATGCCAGTATTGAAAAAAAACAATCAATCTGATAAGAAAAAGCTGCGACTTGTTTTGAAAATGAGGCGTAAAAGGTTACCAGCGAGAATATTCCGTTTGGCATCGGTTGTACCATTATTGGCGACTTTATCGCTTGCGCCGGCAAAACGGAAAAGTACCTCTCATTGATATTATAAATATAGCTTAAACATGTTTTATGTGCATACTCAAAGGGGGGTGGGAAGTAAACCTTGATCTGTTTTAAAGCAATAAGTAAATAAATAAAATACACTGGTTTTATTAGAATGTCAAAAAATACTGTTATGTATTCTATAAACAAATACAAATTATCACATCATACTACATAACCCTGGTACAAAAGAAGAAATGTCTGATTAGGAACATACTCTATTTATTGGTAAAAAAGAAGAGTAAAACATATGCAACATCTCATTATGAAAAATCCTGCAAGCCATTACAATACTATAAGACATTGATTAGTAAGGTAAACATCAGTTGATCATTCTTTCACAACAGCAATAAATGTTTCATTCAAAATTCCTAATAACATGCCAAAACAGATTCACAATTGATGCCTCATTTAAGGTCACACAAAAGTAAATCCGATTTAGCTGACTATGAGATCTTCTATTGTAGAGGACTTTCTAAGGAGAACTGGCTTGTATTCACATTACACATGGGGAAAAACCCACAAAAAAACCAACCATGCAGCCAGCCTGTTCGGAAATAGAACAGAAGATGGAACTCCCAGCATTCAGTAACTTTAACCATTCAGCTGTTGGTGGGCCTAATTATTATTCGAAGAGACAAGCAGCAATTTTTCAGTGACAACTACTCTACTTTTTTACAGACAGAACTGAACAGCAAAAACTTCTTAAACTCTTGATTAGATTCTAGTTTACTTTTTCTTCCTTTTAAAAGCAGGAGATGCAAAACTTTGCCGCTGCTGCCTTTTATTTTGAAGAAGCTTCTTGAGACCAATTCCACGGGCAGTCAAATAATATTTTATTATCTTTGTTTTGATATTGCAACAGGAGGGAATATTTACCTCGCCTGCTTTCTTACAAATCATATTAACAAATTCCACATCCATAGTTATATTTCCATGTATTATTTCGTCTCGAAAATTTTGAATTATTTTTTCACACAGAAGGCACAATTTAAAAATTTCTGGAGAAGGACATTTAAGCCCACCTAAATTTGCAAAATTAATTATGTACTGCTTATTTTCATCAATGGAAGGAGTATTTTGCTCACAAACTAAGAGAAACTGTAAGCATGAATTACAAGCATTTTTCAAAACAGAATTTATTGCAGCTCCTGCAATATAACAGACATTATTTTCCTCACTAAGGGTGAGATTCTGTAGAGATACATCAGAAACTTCTGGTATGGTAACAGGCTCTAAAGCTTTTTTCTCCTTCAGAAATTCAAATTCATCTTTTCGCATAGTTTAATAAATAAATATCTGAATCAGTAGCATAACTGGAGTTCTTAATGTCAGATATAAACTGAGATAAACAGATAAGCTTTAATGCTTTCACAGCTTGCAAAGCACTTGGCCTCAAACCAGCTTTTCTGCGTATCTGAGAAAATACATTTTCTAGAGCATCTTGTGTCAATCTGCTCGTCAAAATAAACTGAAAATCATTCAGAAAACATGCCTCTGCTAACTGTATGGCTGATAAAGTAGAAAGAATCAAACCAGTATGTAATGGTTTCCACCCTTTACCAATTTCTATAAGCTGTATAACATTAATAAATTCAAAAAGTAACTCAATTTTTTTGCTTTTATTTGTCACAGAAATTGAGTTCTTTCTACATCTAGAGGATAGCATTTGAAACCACTGACATATAAATCTTATCCACCATGCTGTTGTAAGAGCATTAGGGCTTATCTCTTTTTTAAAGCTACTGCCTTCTCCAATCCTACAGCTGTTTTAATTGAAAAAACCTCACAGCAGAAGCAACATTCATTTTATCAAAATGTGAGGGGAAGAGGTCTTCTTTGCTGAGATGATGCACAGTCCTCAAACCACAATTTTGGTTTGTTTCAGTAATCCAGATATCTTTTATAAATCCTGCAGATACATGCAAAGTAACCAAATTTTCTTTATTGCAAACATAACTGGGCAGTTTTATACTATGATTAAGAGTTGCAGACCAGAGATTTTTTAAAGATGTGGCACATCTGCAAATACATAAATAATTTTGCCCTTAATTTCAGTAGTGAAATTATTTCTTTGGTTTTGAGAAACAGATATTCCCAAAGAATTCCACAGGCTTTATTTACTGCTGCCATATCGCTAACAATACCAACAACATTAAATCCAACAGAATTGGCAGCTTCGATAACATTGACAACAAGTTGTTTGAGCTGGCATCCTGTTACCTGTCCAGTTATCTCATGGGCAACCACTTGCTTCCATTTCAGCTTCAGACATCTTAGTAAAATAACTAAATAGTGATTTCCTGCACCCTTTTGATTTCCTAATGTACATTTACCAATAAACTGACGTTTTGAAATATCAAAATCAGGAGTGCCAGAAATCTCCATTTCATCCAATGATAAAATACAGTCTTTATCACTAACATTCATTTTTTCTCCTTTAATTTTCAAAAGTTCAATCATGTCACTGATGACTCCAAAATTAATTTCAAGACCTTGAAGTCTTTTATTTAAAGTGCTGTATGAAGGCACAGGAAAACCTATTCTGTGCAACTAATTATAACCATGCTTGCCCAAGGCAAATCTAACTTGGGGCCTTTTATTATTCCCCCGTTAGACCATTTTGCAATGCTTCTACGAGGAATTTTCAACATTGCTATTTGTTCATCTGAAAGAAATGTTTTCACTCCTTTCGGCAATTCCTCATGCTGTACTTGAAGGTCATGAAGTTGAATTTCAGTGCTATGCCATTTTTTTAAAACATTAATTTCATTTTTTTTGGTTGCTCTAAGTTCTTTCAGTAATATTTTGTTCTGGCATTGCAGAAGCGAGATCAATTCAGTCTGCTGTTTTATAAAATTCCTTAAAAGAACATCCTGGAATAAAGAAAAAATCTATATGAATAATCATCAAAGAAGAGGGGGGGGAACACAACAAACAAACAAAAAAGATCTGAAAGGTTTCAGATTTTAAATTACACCCAAAGGGGCTTTTTTTAAATTACGTCCACATTTTGTGTTTTACCTTTATTTATTAAATATCAAGTTTTTCACACTTAAACTATAAAATTCAGTTCAACAGCAATATTGCAAGATAATTTTAAAATGAGCATATCTTCAGAATTCCCGATTCATTGTCTCACACGCCGGAGATAAAAGTGTCTTTTCTGTACAACATTGCCATTGCTCGCTTTGAAATCCTCAAGTTTGTTAATCAAAAATTCGTTAAAGTTTTACAACATATAAAATCTATATTAAAACAAATTCCGAATTTCAAATTCGGGATTCCAGATGTCCATATTCACAGTAGAATTAAGTCATTCAAAATTTGATGGCTCTAGGTACGGTTGTTTTATCAGAATGCGAAAACATACATGCATTTATGCAGATTCTTCACTATATAATAGGGTGATAATATTTGGTGGCAACAATTTGAAAAGTGATGCAGCCGTTTATAGTGTTTCAATACAAAACGAAAACAATAGTCCTTCAGGGACAAAGCCCCTTTGGATTAAATGCCAAACAGATAATAAATCCACAAAATAAAAATGCAACTTCCAGGTCTCTTTTCCTACACTGTGGTGGGTTTTTAAATTTGACTCTATTGTTTTCAGCATTTTCTAGATTATTTTTGTTTTGTTTTCTAATATTTAAAATTTATTTCACTTAAAAATAGATTTTTAAAATTTATTTCCAGCTTTTCAAGGGATCGATTATCTCCATAATCATGAGCAATTTAATAACACAAATTATCAACTTATATCACAGCCTTCACAAATGCTGATGAAATTAATTAAAATTAATTACAATTTGGTTGCAAGATGAGTCTAAAGGTTGTTTTTGCAAACAAAACTGAAATTTACATAGAGAATTTGCAACTATTGATGAAATTAATTACATTCCTTTTACCAAAAAATTACTTTATAGAACATTTTAAATGTATATAAGGAAGCAATTTAATTATACATTAGTTATCAACTTACATCAGAGCCTTCACAAATAGATGGTATTTCATTGCAAAATGAGGCTAAAGGCTGTTCTTGCAAACAAACCTGAAATGTACACAAAGAATTTGTAAATGCTGATGAACCTTTTACCCCCCTCAAAAAAAATGTTAATAGAAATGTTTTGTATAAGCAAGCAATTTAATAATACACTAATTATCTACTTACATGAGATCCTTCATAAATAGATGGCATTTTATCACAAGATGAAGTTGAAGCTTGTTCTTGCAAACAAACCTGAAATATATATATATATATAAGAAATTTAGAAATACAGATAATATAAACTACATTCATTTTAAGAAATAATTATTTTACATAACATTTTATAATTCATAAATAGATAATAAATTGTTAACACTCAAAATTCAAAAATAATTCCATAGCACAACAGCCAGATATAGTACAGCTGTTTAGCAACCATTAGACAAACAATTTCATATTTCAGAAATCGTATAAAAATTCATTAATATATGCAAAACATATGACATTTAATAGCTGCTCAAATGAAAACATAGCGTAGATTCTTTACTAGCAGCTGTTATTTAATCAGAAGGTAATGCTAAATGTTGTTGCAAACACACCTGAGATGTACTGTAATGTACACATTTGCAACCACTGGTGAAATGAAATAAAGTGCATGATTATGAAGATGGAAACATTTAAAAAAAAAAACATAGTACAGTTTACAAATAGATGTTAAAAAACTATTAACATTTTTTAGAAGTGCAAAATGGCAATTTACATCAGATACTTCGGCAGCAAAATTTATTTGTTCAAAATATGAAGCTGAAGGTTGTGGCAAATGAACCTAAAAGAAATTATAATATATGAAATACATGGAAGTGAAAGAAGTTATAAACTCTGATTGGATAAAAATAAATACAAATAATCATTACCATTTTAAAAGTAACTTTCAACTTATAAAAAAGCATAAATACATTGGACTGTTCATAGCATTCATACTTCTTAAACATAAGTAAATATTACGTTAATATATTTTTAAATTTTAGAAGCAGTGTTAATACTTTTTAGAAAAAGTTTATAATACTAAATATTTAATAACTGTTCAAATGAAGACTTACAACAGATGGTTCAGCAACAGAAATCGCTTCAGTTGATAAAGGTAAACTGTGCAGCAAGCCATCCTGAAGATGCAAAAATTATGAAACACATATAAGTAAGGATACCTGAAAATGCTGATAAATAAAATATACTTAATGTAATTTTAATAATAAATAATATAAATAATCCTAATAAGTTTTGTAAATCTTTAAACAAAAAATAACAACATTCAGACAAGACATATAAGACATTAAAATATACATTTAAATCAATGTATTATAACTATATTATTGTATTACTCAAGATTAAAGTTATTAATTTCAATATTATTTCTTTTACTTACTCCATACATATTTCTCTCTATTTATCTGGAATTTAAAATTAAGCAAAAAAGCAACTTTAGTTTAATACAAATTTTGATTTAAACTCTTTTGACTTTGAAGGCAATCAGATACAGGTTTCTTTCTTTTAGGAGCAAATTTGAAGAAACCAGATCCATGTATGACTGTCCTCGAAAAACTACAAAAACTTTATCCAAAAACTACATCAAATTGAGGTTTTATGCCTAATTTTCAATATATGATTATAATAACAAAGTACATACTTAATTATATATATAACAACAGCAAAATTTTAATTTTTTAATCTAATCTTAGGGACTGTAATTACAGCTTTATCACATAATGCCTTAATTTCAATATTTTGATTCTTTTATAAAGCAATTTAGTCCATTTGTAATAAAAACATATTTTTTTTATGAAAACCATAAAAATAAAAAACACATACATTACAAAAATTGGATGTAACTGAACGGTGCTTTGGTAAACCAATGCCTTTTAGACGCTGTGGGGTCAACAGTTGTGTGGGATTAGGCACATTGAAAAGAGTTGGCACAGCATTGGGCTTGAGTTTTTTACGCCCATCTTGCCTAGAGCATTCAAATTGATTTTCTTCAAAATGTACCTGCATATTTAACAAAAGCATGCATGAAATTTAACATTAAAATCAAAAGCACTAGTATTTAATTACAGTAACATATATTATATTAATTTAAGAATGTAATTTTCTGATAAATTAAAATTTTTTTTATGAAAATAAAACAAAATTTTTAAAAGGTAATCAATGTTTGTAAAACTACTTAAAACATATTTCCTGCTCACACACTAAAAATAAATTTAAAGTACCTATAGTTAAAAAGGGAAAAAATATAACATTAAGATTTACTACTACAATAAAGGATAATAATGGGATCAAAACGATTCATCGAATATTTAAATTAATATTCAACTTCTTAAAAATGTCTAAAAATACAGAATATATTTATCTTACTATAAAGAAAAAACAAAATCATTTATTATTTGGATCATACCATCAAGTTTTTAACATTGGCGCCAACTATCCGATTTGGCGACAATACATCAGAATCAAAACATAGAATGCTACTTTAAATCACCAATCGTACAGTAAAGTTAAAGAAAAAGGCACATCACATTTCTAACTGAGCACAAAGTTTACATGAAATGTATGATACAAATTTTACAAACGGTATAAACTTTTCACGATAACAAAAGAAACAACGATATTTTACTGCACAAGCACATACACATTCCGCAGTTGATTTTGTACTTATAAAATCAGTTGATCGTCAATAAGTGACAGTTAAATGAAAATAAATATTTTAAAGTACCAAGAAGAGTAATTTTTCTAACATTCTATGGAAAAATACGAAGCTGAACTTACCTCACAAAGATACGCTCCTGAGCCCGGGATCCATTGATCTCGACGAGAATTAACTATCCATTTTCTTCGTCTTTCTTCATTTCTAGGGAAACGAAACATCCTAAAGTTATTTTTAGACTGATTCGAACAATTTGGTGCAGCACAACCACCCATATTTCTGAAAATTAGGTCGGAATCGATCCACAAATATGTCAAGAAATCAGTGCTAATCCAATAGCGAATACCAACAAGTTAGCTTCAAAATGGATGATGATTCAGCTCCCCTTTATTGTAGCCTTAACCCAACTGAGTTTCCTCCCTCTTCTGACGCGTTCTCGCCTGTCATCTTGATCACATCCGGAGGAGTAGGGACGACCTGCAGAAATTTAACATTGGTTGCCTATAGCAGCGTGTACAATTGTCAAGTAAAAGCTGGTTATAGCGCCTCATTTCACAAATTAGAATTTCTACATATTTTTATTTTTGAAACTGAGATTGAATTTTAAGAATTTAGCATATTTATCAAGCATCACTATCGTTCCAAATAACTATAAAGCTATTCCATGCTTTCAGGGCTGGATATTTTTTTAGCTTTTCCTATGCCGTAAGGAAATTTGTAACTACTTCTTTTAGAAAATAATATTTTAAATCTGAACTAATAGAAAATTTCAAACAAGCAATTTTTATGCTTTTTATTGGTGTAAATAAGTAAAAAATACTAAAATATTTCAAAACGAATTTTTGAAAGTTTTGTTTAAAATTCTAAATTGTGCTGCTTTTTTAAAATTATAGATGAGTATTATAGCACAATTTCTATAAAGGAATTTTATTTCAATTATATTTCATAATACATCATAGTGATAAACATTTTTGGCTCAAACATTTTTGAGTAAAAGTTTTTATACATTTAATTCTAATATTAAAATTGTATTTAACCGTAATAATTAATTTTGCTTGTATTTTATAGTGATTATTTTAATTTATTTTTAGTTCTGCATAAGATTTTTATATGCTGTTAATTTAATTTATTAGCTCGAAGGGACATTTTGCGCTGTTTCACTATAAATGCCCGTGTCTCCTTGCAAATTGTTGTTATCAAATATTATCGCAATGCATTATATTTAAAGAAATTAAATAATGAAGAATCTGCATGAATACATGTATGTTTCTCGCACTGTGACAAAAACGACGGTATCTAGGGCCATCAAATTTTGAATAATGTAATCCTCCACCCGAGCATGGACATCTGGACTGCCGAATTTCGAATTTATTTTAATCTATTTCATATTTTGTAAAACTTGAACGAATTTTTGATTAAAAAACTCAACGAGTTCAAAGCGAGCAATCGTAACACTGTACGGAAAATAACATTTTTTATCTCTAGTGCAGAAATTCTAAAGATATGCTGCTTTCAAATGTACGTGGTTTACGGGCCAAGAACATGATATTCAATAAATATAGGTAACACACAAAACATTAAAAAATGTTCCTTTTTTTGGGCGTAATATAAAATCTGAGTGCTTCTAGATTTTATTTTATCTTTTTTTTTTCCTTTATTACACTCAGAAAATTTTATGCTGCGAATTTTATAAATTACTAAAATTAATAACCCACTTTAATGTTGATAATTTAATGATGATATAATCAAGTGAATAATCGTTTTTTAATGTTATTATAATTTTGAAAATCACTGCCTGAAAATGTTCATTAAATTTTTCAAAAAAATTATCAGGTCTTGTTTAATTTTACCTTATTTATTTCAAAGTATCACGTACTATCAATTTTATTTAATTTTACGCAAAATTAAGTTCATAAATTTTGCGCTTAGAGTATTTACCGTTTTACCAAAGTAAAGATGTTTGTACAAGAATTACGCGTGAAAAAAATGTGCGAAATGCAGTAAAACTGCTTTAATGAGATATATTAAATTCTATTTGAAAAAAAACTGTCACTTTCATAATCTTATCACTCTACAACGTGTCACATTTAATAATTAAAAGCAGTAATGTGATACAAACGCCATAGGTTTCAGTGTTAAAGTAAACCAGATCGTCCCTACTCTTTCTTGCGGACATGTCGGTGACGCGCGCCCCGCCCACTGGGCTAGTCTATCTCTTATAAGGTCCCTGTCATGCGTAAGCGACGTCACAACGAAGCACCGCCCAGCATCAACTACAACTTCGGTCGGTGTAAACATCGTTAGCAACTTTGATTCAGAAATTTGAAATAAGTCTTTGTGGATATCTGTGAATATGTGTGTTTGAACGATTTCAAGCATTATACAACTGAATGGCTTGGTTATGTTTCTCCGTATAAGAATGCGAAAGAATAAATAGTGATAATTTTTTTAAATTGGTCTTATATAGAAAATGTAGTTAGTGCACGTAAAAAAAATCTTCAGTAAGATATTCTAGTATCAGATATTTTTACATGATACGATTGCTTTGATCATGATGCGATTGTTCACTGATTAAGCTAAACTTAGCAAAATTTAGTCTATAAATTTCTCTTTCGAAGAATATTCAGAATAAAACTGGGATTATGGTAACCTCACAGTAAGATTAATAATTTAATTCACAATAGAACTGAATAAAGAAAATATAAATAAACAGTGTTATCTGTTATTTTGTAATCAGACTTGAAAAATAGATTCCAAGTTTTTGAAAATGACAATCAACTGCATTTCCATATATTTGCTATTTTTTTCTCGTATCACATCATTCATCATCATGGGCAAAATTGTGAATAAAATTTATATAGTTGCTACTAAAACATCTGTGTGTTTTATTGGATTTATGATGCTTGCATAATAACAGATATTTGTCGTGCCACCATTCATACTTGTGTATAAATATCTGACTCTCATATAACAGTTTATAATGATATCAAGACAATTAGAAACTGAATTTCTTTTCTCCTGGCAAACTAGGATTTGTGTTTGCTCGTTTTCAAAATCAATTTAATTTTATCCAAAATCTTGACTCCTATTTTTTTTTACCTAATTTTAAATAGTTTCCTTTCCAATTCAATAAAGTTAAAAAAAAAAAAAAAAAAAAAGTAGACAGTTTCTATTCTCTGACTTCGCAAATTCAACAGATAAATAAGTCAGAAATTACAGAAAAAATGACAGTTTTTTATTGCAAGCAGAGGTTAGGTGCATTTGAGTAAAAATTTTATTATACGATACAATTAAAATATAAAATGAGCAAAATTTCAGGCACACATCTTGTAAATACTATTTGCATCATTATCATATTTTTTAAACAAGCTCGCATGTGTTAAAAAAAAATCATGCACAATGTTCCTATTAAAAATTTTATGCTAATTTTTTCTCTAATGAGTATGTTTTTAAAATGTTTGTGTACTTTTATCATGCATCTTAATAACACAAGTGAAACTGAAAAAAAATTAATAAATATCACATTTTATATGTGGCGCTCAACACACTTTTGTTCTGCAGTGTTGCCTCTGCTATAATTTTATGGAACACTGCATTTCTGAATATTCAAAAAAATGGATATCAACTGTATTGTGCATCTTTATGAAAGATAGATTAAATGCAGATTCTGCCAAATTGGGAAATAATAGGTAGCAGTGCCAAGAACGCATTTTTTTTTTTTTTTTTTTTCTACATATATCAACTATTCAACTTACTTTCTGTGTTTTCAGCATTCGACTTTACAACCTGTATTTCTGACACTGAACTTGATTTAGTATTAAACTATTATTTTCATTCTCAGGTATGCATACATGGAATTAGTTTCATTAGTTAAAAAGATTATTAGTAAGTAAGATGCTTGCAATGGTATATTGATAAAGTTATATAAGCATGCAAGAAAAGAATTGTTTTAAAGGGTTATCGGTTATTCAATTATGGCAAAGCACACGAGGGCTATCTGCCTAAAGGGAGGGATGTCTTCGTGGAGGATTTTCTAAGGGAAACTGGCTCGTATACACGTTATACATGGGAAAAACCACGAAAGCACCCATGCAGCCAGCCCGTTCGCGGGATTCGAAACTCGGACCAAACTACCCGTGTTCAGCGTCTTTACTGCTCGGCCGCTGGTGGGCCATTTGTTTTAAAGGACATAAATTATATCTTAATAGAAAAATCAACATAATCAGCAAACCAATCAATAATATAATTTGCTATTTCAGAATTTTCAGCAACAATACATTTTCTTTTTAATTTTTCAAAGCTACGAAACAGAAAATAAATCCATGACTGTTTCAAAATTTAAATACTCAAAGAAAGTGTGGAGAATAAAATATTATTTTAATAACGAATATTTATAAGGAATAATGTTTAACATTTATAAGAACTGTTCAGATAAACTATCACTAACAGCAACACATGCATCACAACCACAATGAGGTAACTGGCATATACTTTGAAAGATGGTCGGCATGTACTTGAACTTGAAAGATGGCTGCAATGGTGCTAATTTGGTACCAAGGTCGGAATAGGGTTTCAAAAATTTATAGTTAACTATCACAAATTCTGCAAATAAAAATATAAAATTGGCATATAAAAAATTTCTTCAAATTTTGTACATGCCAAACAGGTATTATATCTCCTTTTGTGATCTAGTTTTTGGCTAGCCTATATCAGATAATATAACAAAACAGTTTGCATCATACAGGCAATCAGTCTCTTCAAAATTTGTTGCACTATGCATGAACTATCTTTTCTGTAAATACTTGTTTGATAGTTCATAACATAGAGTAAACTTGGAAAGATTTGCTATGTACTGCTAAGCAACTTTTGCTGTATTTAATATTACTATCACATTAGTGTTTATAGAGTATAAACTCTGAAGGCAAATATGATACCTCGTGTTTTAAAGAAATTATTCTATACTTTGCTATTAACGTAATTGGTACAGTCTATAAACAAGCTATTCTTTTTTCTAAAATTACAATTTTAAGTTTTAAATTATTGGATATAGTTCTGTTTGGATCATAATTATACTTATAAATTAACACTGCATTATTTAGATTATAACAAAGGACTGAACAACTATTTGCCTAAGAGGAAGAATGCCTTTGTGGAATACTTTTTATAAGAAAATTCCTCGCTTCCATGTTACACATGGAAAAAACCACAAAACTCTCATACAGTCAATCCATTTGCTGGGATTTGAAACTGGGTTGAACTAACAACACTCCTCAGTTTTACCATTTGCCTATTGTGAGCCATTTCCGTCGCAGGAAAATATTGCTAATACACATTAAATATGGGTCCCACCAGTCGTTGAGAAGTTATGACCACTGAACACTAGTAGTTCAACCCAGGTTTGAACACACTCAAATGAGCTAGCTGCATGGTTGTTTTTCTCCTTGTGTAACATAAATTTGAGCTAGTTTCCCTTAGGAAGTTCTCCACCAAGGTATTCCTGCCCTTAGGCATGTAGCCCTTGTGTACTTGTTCCATATTAAAATAACCTAACCTAACTTTAAATTTGAATGCAGTGTTCACAGTTATGGTAAATCGCACATTTTAAGGTATTTTTTTAAAATTTCTTGAACTATAGAGAAAACTACTCATTATCTGTAATATGTGTTATTGATCGTTTCGCATTCCTAGACATCCATACCCTGAAAGGTCATTAGGCCTTTAACTGTAATAACTCATTTGCATCATTGGAAAGAAACATTATATCTATTGCAACGATTCATC